ACGAAGGTTTAAGTTAAGAGACGTCGAGTTTAAGTGACCTACATTAGCAGCCTTAATTAGTCAAAATCAAATCAAAATCTATGAATACAGATGAATTTTTACCATTAATCCTATTAATTGAACTTCTTTCAAAAATGTAATTCGATCCAAAATGATTGGTTATTAACTTATTAATTTTGGCCGTAGAATACTGCCGTAGAATACTGCCGTAGAATACGTAGAATACCGGTGATATTTTTTTTATTGGTAATTAGCAGGCGTTTGGCCGCACGTGATATGGAAGAGGTTTATGTCCAGGACAGGACCTTTTAAATGTTGAAAATGAAAAAGTCATCTGTGCTCAAATTTTTTTGGTCATGGTAAAGTGTGGGGTATCATAATATTCGTACCTACTGTTTGGTTTTTTAAAGGAAATAACTAGTATTGTCACCAAAATTGTCCTTATTTTAAATCAAAACTAATCTAGTTTTGAATTCAACCAGGAATGTGTAAACAGTCGTTTTGGAATTCCTATATCGCCTACGATAGGTTTAATAGGCGAGCTGCTGGTGACGGAATAACTAACGAACACAGTTTCAACTACTGTCGGTTAAGTAAATACATTCATAGCTTTTACTGTTTATTTTTTATTTACGCAACCTAAGTTTTAGAATCTCTATTACCTACATTGCTATAACCCGAACGGGTAGACAAAGTAATTTTTTCAGTTATAAGTCCCAGTTAAAAAGAGTTGGAGGCGTTAGGTGAGCCTATTGTCATCTGATCGAAAAAGAGTAACTTATGGAGTTTCTTGTTCTGTTGTTATAGAGAAGGCTCTATAGGAACCCACACTTTGGAACGAGCAACGCTTCACTAGAGGACTGACCGACAGACTAACATTTTTTTAATCACTACGTAGTATAAAACAAAGTCGCTATCCGCCGTCTGTCTGTCCCTATGTTTGCTTAGATCTTTAAAAATACGCAACAGATTTTGATGCGGTTCTTTTCAATAGATAGAGTGATTCTTAAGGAAGGTTTATATGTATAATACATGCATGTTGAACCCATGTGAGGCCGGGGCAGGTCGCTAGTATTTCAATATTTTGTTTTATAGCTGCCTTCCAGGTCTAATTGAAATAAATGATTTTGAATTTGACTTTAACTTTGATAAACTGCATGCGAGATTTTCATATAACCAAAAAATCCCCACTAGCATTATACTCGACTCGATAAATTTCAGTTTACCTAAAACTCAATAAATCTCCTCAAAGCTTTAACGCAAGGGTCCTTAGTACCTTTGCAATCAAATATACGTGAGAACAATGTTGAATGTAGGCGCATATTGACAGGTTGGTAATATATTTTCAATTTTATGTAAAACAATCGTTCACGTTGGCGTTCTTTAATTGATCGCTTGTTATAGAGGTACAACGACTTGATATGTGTCAAGACAAGATGTGTTTACATTTAATATTATTTTAGTTTTTATTTTAACTCGTCGAGCACCGTCAATATAGACACAATTATAGAACAATAGGTTGCGGTCACCGGTGACCGCTTGGTGTTTGACAGTTTAAAAGACTTCATGCACACACTTATATACAAGGTGGGCTTAATGCCTAGGACATTCTCCTCCAGCCAGACCTTTGCGTGATGCAGAGATAAAGACAATGGTCGATGCAAGAAGCAAGCGTATTTAGGACTAAACAGAAATACATAAAGAAGGATAGTATAGACTTACATAAAATAAATCCCTATATTAACTTATATGTATATAACATAACAATAAACTTACACAATTATATTACATATACTACTTAGACGTAACATAACTATACATAGTATATTGATAGTTACGACTCTGCCAATCTCTTCAAAAGTAACATATTATCTGATGCTTAAGGAATTTCGAATTCAGTTTGGGTTTCATACATAAGTATATACATACATAGCCTGTGAGGCAGAGACAGTAGGTAAGCAGTAGCAATTGTGCTACGATTCCTATAAACCTCTTTCGCTTCGTCATTTGGATTTCATAATGTTTATATAATATGTTTTTATTGGTTTTAATCGGATACGTGGTGGCTCGGTTTAAAACGCCCAGCTCTCATGATGAGGGTGCGGGTTCAAAACCTACCGACGGCAAGTACCAATGTGACTTCTTCCGAGTTATATGTACTGTCTAAGATTATCTAGACACCACTGACAAACGGTGAAGGAAAACATCGCGAGGAAACCTGAAATTATAATTTCTAGTTATAAGTTTGTAATCGCCAATCCGCATTGAGCAAGCGTGGTGATTAATGATTAAACCTTCTCCGTGTTAGAAGAGGCTTTGCTCAGCAGTGGGATGATGATATTTGTTTTTATATTAATTATGTTATTCTCATGTATGTGAACTCTATACATTCTAAACACACTCCATACCACCTTGCACCCAACACCCAATTATCACCAGGTATTTTACGAATATCATAATATGTGACATGGATCAAGTCTATTGCCATGCATCAGCTACGATTCAAGACTCCGTGCTACTGCTGAGAAACTAATAGATTCCCATATTATTTTGTTGGACCCAAGAAGTGTTTCTTATTTGGTCTGCCTCGTTCGTCAAGTGCATCATTGGTAATTAACCTTTCGTCTGGAGCTTTATGAGACACAATGAAAAAATATTTTGTGTTACTTAGATCTGCGATCTGGCAGACGGACAGTCCAAGGGTTAATTACACGAAGTCTTTCGGTTGCTAACCACAATATTATGTCGCCACATAATATTGTGCTTTTTGATTTACTGAACTCTCAGGTCTTATAGAGCACTATGATAATTTAATGAAAGTGTTAAATGTTTTAATGTTTCAGGCAATTGGTTCCTACAATCTATCTTAAATCCAGATTTAGTATGGAACTTCCAACTGTATTATGGAAGAAATAGGTGCTATTTTCTTCATAAACTATTCAAATATTTAAATTCTATTTCTACAAATGGCCGTAGTTTTGAAGGTAAGCTCAATATAGGGTCCAAAGGTCCGACTAGTACCGAGCTTTAGGTCACTGGGCTGCCGACGGTGGAATGTGGTCGGTTGTTTTGAAACAAGTTCTCCCCTCCTCTTCTAACACACACTGACCTCTCGCTCTCCCACACGAATGGACCCGAAGTATCCCGAAGTGTGGCGAAGTTCAAAAGCTTTCGCGTAACATCGTACCTTCTTCGGAAGTGAGACTGGATTCTTGCAAGTTCTGCTTGTTATTTATGCTTTTTTGATGCGGATTTGTGATAGACATTTTATTTGTTAAATAACGGAATCTTGCGCGGTTTTAACACATACCTGTCTATTTAAATTCTTTACGCGTTTATTTATAACCGTTGTGGTTTAACCGTTTTGTGGGTTTTAACAGAAATTACTAAATGTTGTGTCCTATGACAATAATAAAGAAATACACAAGACGGACAAAATATCTAATAAAGATCGTAGGGAGCTTCTGGATCTCGGTTGAAGGTTGCTTTTAACCGGCGATCTGGAATTCATCTTCATTCTTCGGATCTTCCTGGAGGGAGGGAGGCCTGTGTTCAACAGGATGATGGATGATAAGGAAGGTAAAATACTCATTACCAGACTGAATGGCGCGATGGCCGTCAATAAAAAGGTGCAAAAAGGTTACGATAATAAAGGCTGGTAGTGACACACCAATGAATTAATGATACATTCAAGTTACATGACCACAGAGTGACGTTATTTCGCGCTTATGACGTCAGAGACTCACGCGCAACACTCTTGATGTGGCTTGACGAATTTAAAGGTGAGATGAAGTAGTTTTAACTTGAATTTAACATTTGGTACTATTATTAAGTAGATTTATTAAAATAATATTACGATTTTTAAAGAATTGACTGCATTGTTAGCACCGTGGCTTAAGTATGAATTATATGTGAATTTACATAATTGTAAACATTTCTTCAATACCAGAGAAAATTTTTATCGTTTTATCTATGCTATTTAATTTCAATAAGACAGAGATATTTGTAAACAATACACTATTAACGCTGAATTCCGCAAATAAATTACTATTTTCAAATTTAATTCTATTATTGTAGAGTACATATATAGCGTTAAGTCCAAGATTTCTTAGACAAAGAATTGATCGAATGATTGATTGGAACCTGCCAATGATTTGGACTCATGGAGTCATTGTGTGATCGATGTCTGATTGCATTAAAACAATAGATGCCCTTGCACGATGGCATTGTCCCCGTTTATTGACCATACCGGCTTTGTTTACTTCTTATAGAACATTTATTTATATATTTTAAATAAACGTTTATCTATTGAATTCCGAAAATGTTGAAATACACCTTTGTTTTACTTCCTGCTTTTTCCAAAATGCCTCTGTAAATAAATAGATGAAATTGAGGTCTGTCGAAGTATTATTGTTTATTGTTAATTGGGTAAATAAACAATTATTTCTTGATCATGACCATCGTATGTAATTTCGAATAGTTTGAAGTCTTGATTTTAATTCATTGGACGTTATGTTTTAATGTATTAACTTATATTATGGTTATTTTAAAGTCTTCTAGGACTCCACAACATACGAGATGTGTTCAGATAAATATATTTCGCAAAGAATTCATAACCAAGGCATTAATTAGCATATCTCTGTATCACGGATAGTTCAACTTTATTCCTAACTTATGACATATTTTTTCTTTGCTGTTAGTTTACTCTCTCTACCTTATTCTTCGCAGATTTTCTACTTATAGCCAAAGATTGACTGATAGAGAATGCCATATGGAATTAAGTTCGCGTTATATACAACTGTATAGTAAAAGACTAAATCAATAAATAAAAATATATGACAGAATGCAACTTGTATGAATGATATCATTCAGTTAATCAGGACCTAGTGTGAGTGCGGTGGGACTGGCCTTATTCTTCTTCTATCTTCTATTCTTCAATGAAATGGAATGATTTAAAAAAATATTCAGGAAGAGAAAGAAGAAGATTACATATCACTTACATTCATTATCGTGGCTATTTCTGGCGTGTCCTCGAATCTGTTCGTTGACATAATTGTTACTCTTGGGCACATTCAGTGCACTGCGTATGCCCACAGAGGAGTTGTCCAGATGTCCAGGCCCAATCTTAGGCACATGACTGGAACAGTAGACTTCTTTGTCTTCTGTCCAGTGCTGGTTATTGTAGTATGTCTGTGGAAGAAGAGAAGATAAAGTTATTTGCTGGTGCATTTTTAATATAATTATTAAGGCTATATTATTAAGATATAATTATTAA